ATTGTCACTGTCACTCAGTCATAGATTATGGTACCTATAATTTGCCTTTATGCTAGCCCAGAGATCCAGAACATATGCTTTGGATGTAGTACATTTTTAGCTGAAGATTATGAAAGGATACATCTGATCTCTGTCTGTATGCATTTCTTTAAAGGATAAATTCACCTTCATAACATGTTACACCCATATTCAGGGTGTAACATGTTACTATCTGACTGGCCCCTGATACCCGCTTTGACAGCTAGTGGGGGATCCTATCCTCCCACCCGCTGTGGGGTGCGATAGTAGTTCATTAATTCCTCCTGTCAGTATATCTGCTTTCTCGTACATCCCATACCAGCAAACAGATATTCTGACATATCTGCAGGAGAATTGCATGGCACCAGCAATCTGCTGATGCAATGCTTTATAGGCTCCTGCAGACAACAATAATAAATGCACATTTTTTTACCTGAAAAAAATGTGCATTTATAATTTTTTTACTAAAAGGTGAATTTATCCTTTAATGCATCATCCTGTTTTTGCTGTCCGTTTCACAGATTTTCTTGCACTTTTAGCACTTGTAAGCATAGCTTGGTGCTTGTGTAAACTTTGCCAACTTAGCACTCTATTTGCTGGACATTGTAAACATAGTGTCCTAGGGTGTTTTTTCTTTTTTTTCTGGTATAGATGGGCTTATTAGCAATATCCCTTTTTTTTTTACGCAGTCAAGTGTTCAATTTATTTATTTGATTTTCTTCTTTTGCTGGCTAATCTGCTTTTTGTGGTGTTTTACAGGTCTTTCAAGTTATGGATGATAAAAAACATTTGTATGCTATAAAGTATGTGGACCTGGAGGAAGCTGACCAACAGACTGTTGAGAGTTATCAGAACGAGATTTCTCATTTAAATAAACTTCAGCAACACAGTGATAAAATAATCAGACTGTATGATTAGTAAGTGTATGCAATCCTTTATTGCTTTTTCCTTTTTATTTCTGAAATACCCAAAATAGGCTAACTTGTAGTTTCCTACAGTGAAATCACAAAGCAGCACATCTACATGGTAATGGAGTGTGGCAACATTGATCTAAATACATGGCTGAGAAAAAAGAAGACTATTAACCCATGGGAGAAGAAGAGTTACTGGAAGAACATGCTGGAAGCAGTTCACACAATACACCAGCATGGTATGTGACTGTTTAGTTGATAACAGCTTGTAGAATGAAAAAAGATAAATGTCTGTCATTTTTATCCTCTCATAAACTCGCAACTTTGGGGAGAAAAAATGTTCCTAACACAAATTGTTCTAGACCTCTTGACCCAAAAAAAAAAAAGATAACTTTGCATGTAAACATTTTTGTAAAAAGCTTTTTAAAACTTTTTTTTGTGGTAGGGCATTGCAGTGATTAAAGCAGTACTACAGCCTTAAAGCAGTTGCAAAGGCTATACTTTTTTTTTTTTTATCTAAAATAATAAGCATGTTCTACTTTTCTGCTCTGTGCAATGCTGTTGCACAGAGTGGCCCCGAAACTCCTTTCTTGGGTTCCCCCACCAGTGCTATAGGTTCTTCCTCTACTCCGTGTGCCACCATAGGAAACCACTTTCTATGGTGGAACACGTGGGCTCGCTATCCAGGCGTGCTGTGTGCATCTATAGACACACAGTGCTGGTTTCCCCCTGCTCCCTCCCAAGAGGATTTTATTGACAGCAGCAGGAGCCAATGGCTCCCGCTGCTCTTAGTCCTGTGAGGAGAGTGCAGCACTGCTACACTTGGTCACAACTCTGGATCTAGATAGAACTCTAGATATTGTAAGGTAACATGTTCTGCCTTTACAATTACTTTCTGTCTTATCTGCTACTGTCTCTAGTGCTTGACAGAAAATTTTGCTCTTATAACATCTCCCTTTCTATTTATAATGTGCCTTTTGAATTTTCATAGAATGGCAACACAGCAGGCACATTTGCTATGTGTGAACACCCACAAGACCTTCTGATCTAGAGAAGCCCCCTGGAATACACAAAGGGTGTTGATCACAGATGATGTGTTCTGTGTGGTGCACACACATTTCATTGAGCTAGATTTGTCTGTGTTAGTATGGAGTTAGCTGCAGAGCCTGTCCCTTCTGTGTACACTGAATCCTGGGACTCAGATACTACAGCAGCTAGCGTCTGTGAAGTGTAAACTAGACTGCAAGTATAAGTAACAGCATCATGTTTCATCTGGTTGAGAAAATGTTATTTGCAGAGAGCACCCTCTGTTACTCAATGTGCACATTTATGTCCTGGTGTAAATGCAATGTTGTGTCTCAGTAACTTCAAATAGAAATATTCCTATTAAAATCACCTGGTGCAAAAATGCCTAGTTTGAATCTGTTTTCTCATGTGAAAACATAAATATGAAAGATTCACAACTCATAACAATTCCCCAGAACATTTTCTTATGTGATGATATAGAAGTGATCATAATTAACGAATAAAGATCAGGTGTTTCACGAAAAGGAAGCAATCCAAACATGGTACAAACAGACACACATTTCAGGAAATAAAATGTTGTGGTACTGTAACACACTTTAAAATATTAAACTCACTCTTTAAAAATTGTTGACAGAGTGTTTATGACAGAAGAGACCCTATTGGTCTCTATCATAAATGCTTCCCCTTGGCTTGTCAGGTTACACGGCTCAACGTACATCTATGGCACCCGCTCTGTGCCAGATCTGATGTTACTTCCATACACATGTGCAGAAGTGACATTATTGCAGTCCAACCATTCAAGTGACTGAACTGTTGAAACCTGGAAGGAAGACTGAGAGATGATGATGGAAGCACACAGGAGCAGTGACAGCTAAGAGCTGGAGAGCTTCTTTTCACAAGTGACCATCTGTCATAATGTACTAGAATGTGGGGTACATTATGGCATAAACATGCAGGTGGCCAGTGTTTAAAAAAATAAAATAAAAAATGAATACAGTTTTACAAGTTTTTTACTGATTCTGGCCAAATCAAGAAGCGGTTGATTCACTGACCTGCCCTGTTCTTTATACGATTCTATTTGTGACTTTGCTCGGTGAACCCATGTCTGACTGGTCAGAATACCTTGATAGATCTAAGTGCTGCCAAGACTTATAGAAATGTGGAGCAGTTGACTGGTGGTGATATATACTGCAGCTGTGTTGTTTGGTGGTGGTTAATCTTTGCAGATGCTTGGACAGCTTGCACTTCAGCTCAGATAGGGTGGTCTCCCAGGACTTCAAAATAGTCTCCCTTCCTGTCCCCCCTCAGTTTCTCACCACCAACCTTTGTGTCACTGCACAGATTTGCAGATCTTCTTCAAGCTCTCTAAGAAAGTCTGGATCAAGGTGACATTTTCTCATTTCCTGTGGCAGAATGGTTTTGGGAGTTTTACTTCAATCTGTTCACTGTCAAGCTCAAAGGAAAATTTGCCCCATTCTGGATCCCCAGGCTCTGAATGCTTTTGAGTCCAAAAATTCCTCATGAAAAGAGACACAGGGCACAACCAAGAGTAGCTGTGGATCCAAATGTGAAAAATGTGTAGACATAAATGCTCACCTGACCAGGTCGCTGGGAACACAGAAGAGTATATAGCAGGAAACGGGCTTGAATATTGGTCCTCACAACTTATGGAGTCCATTGTTCACAGAAAACTTTCAGTCACTGGTAGATAAAGTTATAACATCTAAGTGCAGGGAAATCTGACAGCAGAGATGTAACCGCAGGGAAAAAAACTGTGGATATCAAAGCTGCTCATGTATCTGTCCCCATTTTGTTAGCACATCAGCAAATCCTACACTTTGCTTTGGATCCCTACACTACCAGTTTATGATCCCCCTCCCCCAATTCAGCCTCGTCTGCACCTTTTGGGTTTTCACCAAGGTTCTGGCTCCTGTACTAGCCCTGCTGCATTCTCGTGGTATTCCCATTGTTGGGGTTCTTGGATAACTTCCTGTTCAGGGAACAGTCCTTGCAAGCTCCATCGGACAACATGAAGTTGATCCTCCAAATATTATATACTGGATGGATCTTGAACCCTCTTCAGATCAGCAGAGGAACAGACTAGAGTATTTTGGTCTAGTCCTGGATAGAGCTCAGGCCAGTTTTCCTTCCAGAAGAGAAACTTCACACATTCCAGTCTTATTTGAAATCTCCAGTCCAGGAGTCATCTGATATTCCGATTTTGCATGGGAGTCCTAGGTCTGAATGTAGATGTGATAGAACCATCCAGAACAGGGTCTTTAGGAGGAGACTGCCTACTGACTATGGGCCCTGGCATTGAGGGGGCTCTATTCTTTGGGAGGGGCGTGCCTGGAGGACCTTTTTGGAGTAGTTTTACTTTGGATTCAAGTCCATGTCTTCCCAAAACACAGACTCTGAGAACTGGAGGACCAAGATACAGATTTGGGGTCTCTATGCCCAAACCAGCATTAGTTGCTTCAACCCCCCTTCCTAGACTTGGAGACTCAGAGCAGATGGTAATATAATCGGCTCAAAACAACCTGATGATGAAGGCTCTTGCTGTAATCAGTTTATTAAGGTGTGTTGTGTTTACCGTTGTGTATTTGTCCCATTGGTAATGGAGTTAACCACTTGCCTACCAGGCACTTATACCCCCTTATTTACCAGGCCAATTTTCAGCTTTCAGCGCTGCCGCACTTTGACAATTGCGCGGTCATGCAACATTGTACCCATATGAAATTTTGATCATTTTTTTTCTCACAAATAGAGCTTTCTTTTGGTGGTATTTAATCGCCACTGGGTGCTTTTACTTTTTGCGCTATAAATAAAAAAAGTGCAAAAAATTTGAAAAAAAAAAATAGTTTCTTTGTTTCTATTATAAAATTTTTCAAACAGGTAATTTTTCTCCTTCACTGATGTGCGTTGATGAGGCAGCACTGATGGGCACTGATAGGCGGCACTGATGGGCACTGATAGGCAGCACTAAAGGGCACTGATAGGCAGTACTAATGAGGTGGCACGGATAGGCGGCACTGATAGACAGCACTAATGAGGTGTCACGGATAGGCGGCGCTAATATGTGACACTGATGATGGGTACTGATAGACGGCACTGACTGGCATCACTGCTGGGCACTGACTGGCGGCGCTGACTGGCACAACTGCTGGGAGCTGACTGGCAGCACTGCCGGGCTGCACAGGTGGGTGGCACAGGTGGGTGGGCACAGGTGGGTGGCACTTCTGGGCACAGGTAGGTGGCACTTCTGGGCACAGGTAGGTGGCACTTCTGGGCACAGGTGTGTGACACTGTAGAGTGGCACAGGTGGGTGACACTGCAGAGTGGCACAGGTGGGTGCACTGCTGGGCACCGGTGGGTGGAGCTAGTGGGCGCACTGCTCGGCACATGTGGGTGGAACTTGCGGGTGGCACTGCTGGGCACCGATCATCAGGGCACTGATCATCAGTGCCCTGATGATCGGTGCCGATGCTCGCTCTGACAACTGCCGGTTCTCGGCAGTACTTTCCTCACGATCTGATAGCGTGAGGAAAGTGCAGCCGAGAACCGGCACTTGCATTTCCCTGTGATCAGCGTGTCATTGGACACCGCTGATCACGTGGTAAAAGGCCGCTGTGATTGGCCTTTTACCACATCACGTGATCAGCTGTGTCCGTAGGACACAGCGATCACGGAGATCGCCGGGTGCGCGCCCCCTGGGGCGCGCAGGAGAGCGTGTTCTGGGAGGACGTCATATGACGTCCACCCAGAACTGGCCGGCCGCAGTGCAGCCGTCATTTGGCTATCTGCGGTCGGCAACTAGTTAATTGAATCACCTATTTGCCTGTCTGGCTAGTCCTCCTGAAGGTTTCTACATGATGGCATTAGTCTTGTGTCAACTTGACCTTGTTACCTAATCAGTGTGGGATGTTTCTCCCAATGTGTAATGTTTGTTTTTATTTTTCAAGTGGGGACTTGCCCTATATCTGAAGTGTATAAAAACCTGTATTTTTGTTGAATAAAGAGTTCCAGTTGCACCTAAGCTAGTGTCATCTAGTTCAAGGGTGCAATGCCCAGCTATAATACCTTGGTCCTGTTACCGAGCGACCAAGGGGCACTCAAATGGGGTGCCAGGAAGTCCATCAGAATAGCCTCTTTCAAGGCAGTCCCATTTGCCCAGTTTCACTCCAGACTTCTAAAATGCAACATTTTGTTGTGAGTTGAGTCAATCTGGTCTCTGGACAAACCAATTCATCAATCTTTGGGGTCCAGGTTATCCCTGGTCTGGTGGATAGGAAAGCCAGTTCCAGATTCAGGAAAGTCCTTCTTTCTGTGTTATTTTTTTTTTTTTGTGGAGGATCCACAAAACAGATGTCAGGCTGGAAAGGAGTGTTGGGCACCCTGTCAATATGGGGGACTTTGTCAGGGGGGTCTCCTGTGCCAGTCAAAATCTTGGAACTTTGGGTGATTTAGCGGTCTCCTTCATGTAGGACCATCCTTTTGGAGGGTCATCTGATCCAGATTCGTTTCAATACACTCTGATCTATGCCTTTGCTTCCCTGAAACATTTCTCATTTGTTTTTTGGTATAGAGAACCACAGGCAGTGTTCCAATGATCCTCATTCTATCAGAATGGCTCAGGCATAGTTGGCATGCTGACTTGATGAGACTGAGCAGATTGGCTGCGTGCTCTACTGTATTGTCAGGATCCTTCTGTCTTAAGGACTGATTAACTATCCAGCTTCACAGTCACTGAATTTAACTAGGAATACCAGATTTTGTGTTGAATAAATCCTCTCCTTGCTTCTGGGTCTGGATCAGCTTTTTGCTCTCAGCATTATCAAGGGTCAGGCTTCTTCTTGTAGCCATTAACTCTGCAAGGTGAATGTCTGGCGGCCTTCTGCTGTGAGGAACCCTTTCTGATTCTGCATAGTTGAGGTGTTGAAACTGCCTGAGAGAGTTTTCTGTTTCAGGGGATTGTTCTCCTGTTCCTCTGTCCATCTGCAGTTCACTAAAAGCAAATTTCCCTCCATTGTCTGGATGTGTTTGAGCTGTGAGTTTTTCAGCCACTGCTTCTTTCCACTTTTACCACTTCAGTCTTCACGACGTACACAGTTGCCAGGTTGAAAAGGTTGTACCAGGATGATGCATGCAGCTATGGAATATATATTTTTATATTTTCTCCTTGTTGGTGATGGTGTTTAATGTAACAGCGATCCTAGCTGAATTGATTTTACAGGTGGCAGAAGAGGTTCTCCCATCCCACTGGGGGGGCTCAGGACTGAAGCTGGTGGTTCGTTGGCTGACCTTAGAGATTCCTGAGGACCAAAATGTCTCTGATCATCTCTATTGTGCAAGTAATTGGAAGTAAAAAATTTTGACACTTCTAGTTTTGCCAGGTTGTAAGCAAGCCATTACTGGCTTTTGAAAGCATCAGAACCATGCGATCTGGGTTAAATCTGATGCTTTGAAGGGCAGAGAAGAGATCTGAGGTCTAATAGGCACCAAATCTCTCCATAAAAAGGATGACCGGTCACTAAACCAGTAGTTCATCCCTTTTGTTAATCATAAAAGTAAAAAAAAATAGAGACAATGTAAAAAAAAAAAAAAGGAAGATTTAAAAAGCTGTAAACACCCCATCCCTCCCATACTCGTGCACAAAGGCGACTACATGTAGGATGCACAAGCATGTTTAAATGGTGTTCGCACCACACGTGAGGTATCACTTTGAACATCGTTGTAAGAGCAAGGATTCCAACATCAACATGGATTGCCCCCTTGAATCAGCTGTCCCCGTCAACGTGCCCCCTTGCATCAGCATAATTTGATGTACCGTAGTTTGTCGCCGTTCCTGGAGTGTGGTCAGTTTTAAAGTATGACGTGTTTGGTGTCTTTACTCGGCATAACCTCTTTTATATTTTGTCAAACAATTGGGTATTTTTTTTTTTTTGTGTGTTAAAATTCATTAAAGTGTATTTTTTAAAAAAAAAATTGCGTTTCAACAACCGCTGCACAAATACAGCGTGACATAAAAAATTGCAACACCCATCATTTTATTTTAGGGCATCTGAGGGTTTTAAGTAATTTTCTAGCAAAAAATACTGATTTTCACACGTAAAGTAAATGTGCCAGAAAAGGTCTGGTTTTAAAGTGGCTAAGAGAATATTTTTTTCATTCGCAAACAAAATTAAAGTGGAGCTCCACCCAAAAAGAGAAGTTCCACTTTAAGGCTTTGTTTCCTGCTCCCCATTGAGGATTGGGCGAGTGGGTACCTGATTTTGACAGGTTCCCGCTTCCACTTCTGTTGCAGTCGCCTAGGCGATCGAAAGTAAAAGTCATTTTCCTTCCCTCCTCGTAGTCTTATGGAACACGTAAAAGGTCTCAGACTATAGGACCATTCACAAAGGTGCAGTGCTATTGGTGCATGTGCAGTGGGCACCCGGCTTTGAAGCCGCAAGCTGTCGCACACTTAAGATGCTGGCACTGGGGAGAGAGGACGGCCGGTGAAACCAGCTGCAGAAGACACCCCTGGATCGAGGGCTAAGTGACTGTCTGTGTGTTTTATTAAAAGTCAGCAGCTACAGTTTTTGTAGCTGCTGACTTTTTATTATTTTAGATTTTGACTGAAGTTCTGCTTTAAGGCAATAATTCTCTCTATCAAATGGGATGGGACCCTCCACAACAGTCATATACGTACTAATTTGCTTTGTGTTAAGGCAGTGGTTCTCAACCTTCCTAATGCTGCGACCCTTTAATACAGTTCCTCATGTTGTGGTGACCCCCAACCATAAAATAATTTTCGTTGCTACTTCATAACTGTAATTTTGCTATTATGAATCGTAATGTAAATATAAATACATAATTTTACAGTTACCCAGTAATTATAATTCATGAAGTGTTTTTACCTCCAATACTGCTGCTTTCAACACAGTAGCTGCTTTTCAACACAGCAACTGCTTTCTAAACAGTAGCTGCTCTACACACATGTGTGACTGGTCCACATAAGTACATTTTGGCGCCAACCCTGTCACACCTGTATTTGTATGGGGTGTATGTGATGGGGTTGGCGCGATGATGTCATCATGCCGGGTACTCATATGTGGGTGTATCTTCATGTGGGCGGACCCGCCTGGAGACGGATATAGGAGCAGTTTCTCGGGTTCCTAAGACCATCGGAAATATATGTTTTCTGATGGTCTTAGGCGACCCCTGTTAAAGGGTCATTCGACCCCCAAAGGGGTCGCAACTCACAGGTTGAGAACCGCTGTGTTAAGGCATCCCATTTATCGGCATTAGTTGCATTATGCACTACAACAGACCTACAATCCTACCTTCAGCATGTTGTGTGTTGCAGTGCACTGCCACATACGAAAGTGCATTGTGGTGCATTGCTACAATAAAATGGTTAAGAAATGGGCCCCTTGGCTTTTTAATAATACAAGGGCATATACAGAGCATAAAGTATCAATTGTGATGTAAAGAAGTGCCTCTCTTGTTGCTACAGTAAGGAATTGTAAAAATATGAAAGGACAAACTTCCTGTATCAATAATTTGAAGAATTGTTATGGGATTGCATTGCTTTTTGTTTCTTAGGTATCGTTCATAGTGACTTGAAGCCTGCAAACTTTTTGATTGTTGATGGGATGCTTAAGCTTATAGACTTTGGAATTGCTAATCAAATACAGCCAGATGTGACTAGCATTGTTAAAGATTCTCAGGTAAATACCCCAAAACATATACTCTTCACTTCTTTCAACAACTGTGTGTGTGGTTTCCTGACAGTCCATCTACCTAACATACTTTGTGTATCTTCATAACCTCCACGTGTCCTTTATATATTTTTTTTTTCCTGAGTATGTGTAATTACAAATGCTTTCTGCTTGTTTTAATATTAGGTTGGCACAATCAATTACATGCCACCTGAGGCTATCAAAGATAACACTTCTTTTGGTGAAAATGGAAGACCAAGGTCCAAGGTAAAATGTCATACCTAGTCTTACAGTATATGCTTGGTCACATATTTTGTCTTCTGTGTTTTTGCCGTCTTCCCTTTTGATGCTGTCTTGACTCAACCACGTTTTCCAAGAGTTTCATCTTACAATTAAAAAACATATACCGTATTTTTCGCACCATGAGACGCACTTTTTTCCCCCCAAAAAAGGGGGGAAAATGTCAGTGCGTCTTATGGAGCGAATATGGAGCGGCCGGTCCGGTATTTCCACTGCCGCCGTGTCAGAATACCGGGCCGGCCGCTCAGCTCTACAGCGGGACCTTATAGAGATGACTGCTGACCTTTGGGGAGGGGGGGGGGGAGCGGGTACCTGAATTTGACAGATACCCGCTCCCACTTCCGTGGAGTTGTTCTTTCATCTTACCCGTTCCTCTATCCAGCGGCGCAGTCTTCCCGGCTTCTGTAGTGTGGGCATGACAGCCGGGTGC